CCCCCCCCCCCCCCCCATTACGCCATCTATATTAGTAGTTGTTGTCTTTTTTAGGCTGTGTGCGTTATTTAGTTGCTTGACTTTTTAATACATATCTTAAGCGGAATAGTGACATGAATTGAACGTATGTCGCAGAGGAGTTTTCTCTTAGCCAAGGAGGATGCTTATTTAATGTTTTCTTGCGAGAGGCCCTAATTTCTTCGCCAGTCGCTTTGATCAGTGCCCGCTCGCTTGAGATTCAGCTAAACTCGTGCCTGTACATCCAGATAGAGGTCTGGCTCGTAGGCTTCATTGGACTACCCTGCGCGTCAGAGATTTCTTATACACGGTTTCCGCTAGTCTGCGTGGCAGACGTTCGAAAGGGAAGGGAAAGGGAATTAGGGCGCGAGACCACGCGCGAGGGAGGAGGGAGCCCCTCGCGCCCCTCGCCCCTCGCGCCCCTCGCGTTCTCTCGCGCCTAAAACTCCCTTTCACAAAGCTCCCTTTCCCTTCCCTTTCAAACGCCTGCCACGCAGGCTAGTTTCCGCCGAAGAATTGTTCCATCCAGAGGAAAACGAAAAAGGAACACAAAAACAACAAGAATTGTGGTTGCCAAATGATTGCAGAGTATGGAATGACTGAGGCATTTTTAGACTAACTTCGAAATGATGGGTGTCAACCTCGTTCCCATGGCTGGAAAATATCTGGGAACGATGTTACAACGCTTAAGTCATTTCTTTCTTCTTTTTCTTTATGTCGGGGTCGACGGAGTTTACTTTTTCTTCAAATTTCTTGCAAAACGAACCCGCCAAGTCAAACAGCAACTTGCAAATTTCCAGCAGAGTCAAAAGAGATACTCCTGCGAAAAGTCCCAATGAACCTCCGATGTTGCTGATGAGATCTTTAAACTAAGAAAATAAAGTACAAAAATAAATTTACTGATGAATCAATATTCCATGATATTCGTACATCGCAGAGTGTTGTCTGTCTATTCCAATACTACGCTTCATTATTTCTAAATAAAAAGTTTACTTTAAGAATCAACCCCAAATATAGACAAAGGAGCTGTGCCAACGACCCACGTCAGTTTCAGTTTATTGTTTTGCCATTAAGATATACAGGCAACAAGTTCTAAATATTTTAAGGCTAATTGCGAGGAAGCCCAAGGGAACCACCGCGCTTAAAAGGAATGGACTCCCTCAAGGTGACCCAAACGGATGGTACTCAGCCCGGTTACAGTTGGGTGAAACACCTTGGGTCAGCTGCTTTAACCATTGACGTCGGACNCGCGAGGGAGGAGGGAGCCCCTCGCGCCCCTCGCCCCTCGCGCCCCTCGCGTTCTCTCGCGCCTAAAACTCCCTTTCACAAAGCTCCCTTTCCCTTCCCTTTCAAACGCCTGCCACGCAGGCTAGTTTCCGCCGAAGAATTGTTCCATCCAGAGGAAAACGAAAAAGGAACACAAAAACAACAAGAATTGTGGTTGCCAAATGATTGCAGAGTATGGAATGACTGAGGCATTTTTAGACTAACTTCGAAATGATGGGTGTCAACCTCGTTCCCATGGCTGGAAAATATCTGGGAACGATGTTACAACGCTTAAGTCATTTCTTTCTTCTTTTTCTTTATGTCGGGGTCGACGGAGTTTACTTTTTCTTCAAATTTCTTGCAAAACGAACCCGCCAAGTCAAACAGCAACTTGCAAATTTCCAGCAGAGTCAAAAGAGATACTCCTGCGAAAAGTCCCAATGAACCTCCGATGTTGCTGATGAGATCTTTAAACTAAGAAAATAAAGTACAAAAATAAATTTACTGATGAATCAATATTCCATGATATTCGTACATCGCAGAGTGTTGTCTGTCTATTCCAATACTACGCTTCATTATTTCTAAATAAAAAGTTTACTTTAAGAATCAACCCCAAATATAGACAAAGGAGCTGTGCCAACGACCCACGTCAGTTTCAGTTTATTGTTTTGCCATTAAGATATACAGGCAACAAGTTCTAAATATTTTAAGGCTAATTGCGAGGAAGCCCAAGGGAACCACCGCGCTTAAAAGGAATGGACTCCCTCAAGGTGACCCAAACGGATGGTACTCAGCCCGGTTACAGTTGGGTGAAACACCTTGGGTCAGCTGCTTTAACCATTGACGTCGGACTCCAGTCAAACTCTTTATTTCAACACCAGACGTTACCAGTTACGTCGGAGGTTACGTTATCTGGCCCTGAAATGTCTATAGTCCTCCTGGTCGGAATTGGATATCAGTTCATCACAAGGTTATCCCCAACAGTAATACGTTTTCAAAGACCAGTTTCGAATTTTTAAAGTTCATACCTCACTCAGAGGCTGGGGTTTATAAATCAAAAGAAATCGCATTGAGATCCACTGATAAATCATTGACATGTTTTGTTTTACATTGGACTCTCTTTTAACGGACACCTCGGTGATACGGACACTAAGAGATGTCCCGACTTTTCTCTGCTCCCTTTATTTGACTCTCTATGAGACGGGCAACACTCGTGGACGGACACTATGTGCCGGTCCCAAAAGTGTCCTCTTTAGAGAGATTGGACACTGCTTCCCTCACCCACTGAGCCAAGTATAATTCATTATAATTCAAAACTGGCCTTTTGAACTTTGCAAAACTTGTGGATACAGTCTTCATTCACCTCGTATCTTGGCACTTGTTGGATGATCTCTGTTGTCATGCTCTTGTAGTAAACGTCAACCCGCGCCAAATTTCTTCTGTTAAGGAAAAACAATTTGTTAAAGACTGAACAAAGCCATTTCTTGCATCAGATCGGTATTTATTTCTTAGTTTTCGGTTTGGTGTTCATTAGCCTAAGCTCAGAGGTTCATTAACCTCGGCCGCCATGCGCATGCACTAAAGCAGTTGCCTCCTGTTCTTTTTTGAACCGTCAAGCTCTCCCTTAAAATCATTTTTTGACTTGCCCCAACTCTCCATCAGTTTCAACGTCCAACATGGTGGGAGAACAGTATCACAAGAGTATCATCGTTCGCACTGCAAAATACGACTGATTTGCAGGTTAGTTCTCATCCTTATCTAAAAGACAGGAAAGTAAGACCTGAATGAAGAGGAAAAGGAAACTGAGCTATTGTTATCATACCTGGCTTGTGTTATATCACTCACTGTATTGAAAGCTCTATTGCCCAATCTTTCCAGCAGATGCGACTTCTAATAAATTATAAAGAAAACCAATGCTGATGATTTACACAAAAGTATTGCGATATCTTACATGTATCACGGCCTGTTTATGAGATTCCACATCGAAGGGTGGCTAGATTAACTTACTAAACTGTTTTATCCTCGCCAGCATCATATGGGACATGTAACGGATACAAGGCTTGGAGGTGCGTCAGGGATGATGCCCATAGGAAAGGTACATAGGGAAAGAAAAAGTAAGTAGCCCCCTTCCTTAGCCTGCGAAAACAGCCGTTTCCCCTCCCCAGCCGCGAGGAGTGGGGAGAAACGGCTGTTTTCGGAGACTACCCCTTCCTTGGCTCAGTCTATAGCCATGGGTGTCTAGATGCGCCCTCGTTACTGCCCACTCATGGTGGGTGGGGGGTACCGTCGTAAGCCTATCCCCTTTTCTCTTGCCTCGGTTGGACGTCATAAAGGATAAGAGAGGCTGTTTAAAGATAAATCAGCTCACCAGGTATCCTTCAGTCGGCCATATTGCTGAGGATACAGTAGCAGGATACTCGAATAACCTAAAAAGAATCAAGACATGTGAGAGCCAAGTTTCAGATCTTTCCGGTCTGAAAAGTTCACTTTGCCTCGCACTTAAGCTACAGATTGAGTAGCCTGTAAAGCAGGCTTTCAAAGGGCGTTGGTAATTAAGGAGAAAGAGGGACATCTTGTGATGGGAAAGTTCCCTTTTTTCTTCCTCGTACACCCGATTTACTTCGCCCTTTCCCTGGGTTGATTACGAGGCAGGCTTCATGTTGAGTAGTCATTTCGCGAGCGACCAATGAGGATCCCCAGTAGGGTTTTCGGGATCCGGGATTTCCCTTATTTGAAGCTCGAGATTCGGGATATGAAGGTAAAATGCGGACGAGATTCGGGATTGAAAGTACGGGCGCAAGGTGGGATGCCAAAACTAACCCTCGGGATTACGGGATTGCACCAGATTTTGGGTCGGGATTACGGGATGTAAGAACCCTATTGGGGATTTCCTGCGAAATGACAGAAACGATTGCAGAAATTCCATACTGATGATGCTTTACGACCCAGACCGTATCTGTCAAAAATGGTATATAAAGGGGCCATGATAAGTTTGGCAGATAGACATGAACTGCAAAAGACCGCAAACGAATATGCCGCAGAACGTAGGATCTAACAGAAGACCTGATCAGCCAAATTATACAAAGTAGACACATTGACTTGCAATTGTGCAAAATTGATCCTACTACGTGAAAATTAACGTTGCAAGACATCAACACGAAACCGAAAGAACCCAAAAGAAAGAACCCCGCTCTGTCTTGGGTTCTACTGTGTCTACTTTGAAGGTCTATTTTATAGATCCGATGTGCTCTACATTTTGTATGGTTTGTCCATGTTCCTATGGTTGGTTCTGTCCATCCTATATTTTCTTTGCGAGACATCAACTCGACACTTGGACTCTTGCCCTCCCGGAGACACGTAATATGGCGTGATTCGGCTGTGGGTGTTGGAGTTCAATGTCATGGCTCAAATCAGAGTGAGCGGGTTATTTTTCAGCAGATATTTGCTGTTTATTACGCCGTCCTGACGAGCCACAATAATGGCGGAACAACTGTCGACGGCTACAACCCCGCTCTGTTTTGGGTTCTTTTGGTGTCGTGTTGATGTCTTGCAAAGTTAATTTTCACGTAGTACGATCAGCTTTGCAGAATTCAACGTGTCTATACGGTTGGCCCTAGCGGCGGAGCCTCCCGTACAAATATAGGTTGAGAACCTCCCCCGGGGCCGTGATTTGGAGCCTTTTATCTAAGAATATGATACCTAGTGTAACCGTCGTTGAGGAACAAATTTGTGGGTGCAGCTGTCAGAAAGAGTGCCTGACCAGTAACTGGTAATATGTTCATATCCGAGCTTTGGTTTCGCATTGACTTGCCTGCAGTCTTGAGGACAGTTGCATGGAATGTTTCCCAACCTTATTTCGCGACTCAGTTCTTTGGCACATCGTACTTGATATATAAAAAGACAATGCATTTGTTAATAATCGACAAAGGTTTTACAGTGATTCTCACAAAAAATGTACTCCTAATCAAAAGACCCTTATAATTAAATGAATGCTATGCTTTTTAAAGATGAAAGGAACGGGAATTGTAGTATTTTGAATTTTAAACATAACGAACAAAAGAATTGATGACCCTGGAAAATAGAGGATCTTACAAGGCAACTTGGAGAGACGAAATTCCTCTTCGAGTGTTGAAAAGCATTTCATCATTTCACGAATAAGCGCATCGACTGTCGGCCGATGATGCCTAAATCTCAGCCCATGATGCCTAAATACACAACATCCTGTTTTTGAGGACGAAAAGAGAATCTCGTATCTCCAAGCGGCCATGTCATGATCTAATCATTATATAAACACCAATGAAATTCCATGTCTTTTAACCTATAAGTTTTTTTTTGCTACCACAGGCGCGATTCATCATGTAGTAAAGATGATCTCTTCACGCTCAAAGATAACAAGCTGCATGAAATGTTGTTTTCACATGTGAAGATATCATGTTTTCGCGGAAACTTCGCTTGGTAATTCATCCGTGGTTATATGATGAAAACCTTCATAATGTTAGTCCTGCAAGACGGGAAATACAAGAGCCTAGAACTTATCGTGCTTTCAGTGTTGAGGGCGGGCAAACCTAGTCAGGTGTTACAACCAAGCGGAGACTGTGCATTCAAACAACGCAAATGGTTGGAAAAGGGTACATAAGCTTAATAGAGAAGGGAAGAGTATTACTTCAGTCGGTAACAAATAAGAGAGACGGAGTGACTCCCGCGCCACCTACCTCAGCCAATCATAGGCTAAGAAAATTTTTGACTTTGTCAGGGTTCTTTCGCAAGTTACCCAGAAGCCTTTGTTACTGTGGGGAACTGGCACTCAGCATGACGTCAGTATCAAGTGTCCCCGTTTTGGAAAATTCCATCCCCTCACGAAATTTTCTTGAAGATTCTGAATGTTTTCTGCTGTTGTCTTTGATTGTTATTCCGAGAAGATGATGTATTGCTAGTCTGAAGGTTTTGAATTATAATCTTGAAGATCATCTGAAGTAAGTCTTCGATTGTGTTTGTTCTATTCAGTTACAGTCAATAAAACATTTACCAGGAAGTTTTCACTGGAAACCCCATGCCTATTTCGGGAACGTTTTGGGAGCTGTCCTTTACGGCTCCTAGGGAATATTTTATTCAATTTTGTGACATCTGATTGGTACTAAAGCTGGTGTTTCGATTGAAAATAAAGCATGAGTATGATAATTCTCATATAGATTTTAGTGTCGAGGAAACGAGCGTAAGAAAAAAAACAGCCAGAGCAACGCACCTTGAACTGAATCAAATGGATCACAATTTGGTGTGATAGGATAAGCCGCTCCAGAGCACCCACAATTTCTCAACTGCTTGTTGGCAACACAAGACTTTTTACAGGCCTAAGACCATAAACAAAAGGACTTTCTGCAGGCTATTCCATCAAAGTGCAGTTATTGTACCTTAGAATGCTGTAGTAAGCAAGATTCTGACTTTGAAACCCTAAGTTCCGCGAAATCTTTTTAGCAATGACACAATCGCAGCCTCCTCTTAACGCGTGCTTTTTTTCTCCCTGTTTGTTTTTCTCAGTAGCATTTCAAAAAAGCTTTATCACGAAGAAATGCTTAAAAAATAGCAGCTCAAAATATTAAAGGAATGTATAAAAAACATAGCAAATATGAAGAGAGGAACGGCTGGATAAACTTGAAGAAAATTGATACGGAATGGAATCGAGGTTTTTGAAACCTTTTTACTGCCTAACAGTTTTTCAACGTTCTTTTTATTTCCTGTAACTTTTGATGTAATGCTTGGGGAACAATTTTGTTTCACATGAAACAGTGGATTTGCCATTTACAAGTAAATGCTTTGCTAACACAAAGTTTCTTTGGGATAAGGACGTGTAATTGCCAATATTAACAAAATAAATTAGACAGACGTGACACGACCCCTTTTAAGTCTCAGTAAACGAACAGAGCTCTTTTTATCATTTCAAATGCGCTCGCATCCTATCATGTTGTCTGCTTGTTACTATACGTGGCACATGCTTCGTAACCTTAGGCAACAGCTTCCTGTTCCTGCGGAAGTGTTAATCGATCGAAAAGATCACAACTATTAAACAACGATAGCCTGCGAGCAAGCTCTCCGGGGCGTTCTAGCGGCGGGGCGGGAACCCAGAACGCCCCAGAGAGCTTGCTCGCAGGCTAAAACAATGACAAAAACAACAACAACATGACTTGCCATTTCCGAGTAACTTCTGTTTACGTAGATAATGTATCCGCCTTTACTGCAAGATGTTCCCTCATATGGCTTGTCTAGTCGACTAACAATTCTCTGTATAGATAAGCAGGTAGTGTTTGCTCATTAGATCTATGCGTTCACGGAAAATCCATCAGTTTTTTAAGTACAGCCCATAGGATTTCATACTCCAGTGAAAGCTAACCCTCGGAAACCCAGGTGCAAAATCATCTCAAAGTTTACAAGAAGAACGGTAGTGATCCTGGACATTTTACTTGTAAATGATTCAGATCAGTTAAAGATTCTGACAAACTGGCCACCTACCCCTCCTTAAGTGACGAGTAAGTAGGTCAGGGGAGGGGTATAAGGAAAGTTTCCCTCATACTCAACTTCAATGTCTCCTGAACTGGTTCAGCCACTTTCAGTGATAAAATACCAAGGAAACCCTAGAAATTACATTTCAGCCATACATGCGACCTGAGTTCGCAACACCACTTCTGGTTTTCCTGCGAAATGACGACTGAAGAGCGAGCAGAGAAATTCCATACTGATGGCATGTCACTGCCCACCTCAGGGTAGTGCCCAAGTGGGGGAACATCCCCCCGGGTTAATGGTAAGGCACCCGGGCAGGGTCTCTGTTGAACCACCTCAGCTACTTCTGGGTATCTAAAGATGATGGAAGATCAATGAAGGAGGCATTTGGGTTGTATTTTGAATGGAAAAGGGGGAAAATTGAAATCATGAAAAATAGGGTAGAAAAAGTCATAGCGGAGCCCCATAGCTAGGAAAATTTGGAACACACGTGATCGTACGTCCGCCCGACTGTCCGTCCGTCCGTAACACAGGGAAACCAATGTGAAATGACACACTTTGATTTCTAGCTAGTGTGGTAGCCTGCAACCTGAATTTTTGTCAATTGACAGTTGTAAAAAGAAGGTATCCGCTGACCAGTAGCACATGACTGTATCGAGGGCTCAAGTGCAACACATCGAGTTAACCGCTCACAAGTCGCTGGTTTTCAACTGATTGCAGGCTCTACTCCAAGTGGATTTCTTTGCAATGTTTTTCATTAAAGGGAGCTTCGCCTTTAGCCTTGGCTAAATCTACATATTACACACATAGAATAATCTTTGTAGTAAACATGACACTTGCAAGGTAAACGTTATCCTTGATGTGGCTAAAATGATGTTGATGTGGCTTGATGTGGCCGGCGAGAAACTTTGGGAAACTCACTTTTGTGAAACCAATGTTTGTAGCTTGCCCTGGTGCAATGAGGTACCCATTCTCCTCCGGAAAGTGCATCTCCATTGTGCTCGTAACATCCACTACAGCTCCATATGACTCTGAAAAATCTTCATAGTAATCATCCGCTTCAATGTTTAGGACTAGAGATAATCCTGATGCAAGATAACAAAAAAAAACATGTTTATAGGCCAGCTGGTCGCCTAGGAACATCTAAAAGACATCTGACTCAACAGAAATTAAAAGGTGTGGCGGTGAGATCCAGCCTTCGAATGTGAGGTAGAGAAATCAGTCTTTTGACGACTACTGAAAAAGCATCTTTATTTAGTTTTCAAGGAGTTTTGTAATTATTATTGCCGGATGCGTACAGATACGGAGCCTCAAGTGTGTCTAAAAATAATTGACTTAGTCTTGGGGTTGTTCATCTCCGGGAAATGCTCTCCTGACAGCACCAGGGCTAGTTCCCAAGTGTCTTGTGATATTGCAGCTTTGATGAAGAGCTTACCATTTTCACTTCCCGGTGCCGTGACGTTAGTTTTGACTTTCCTTTCATTAAACACATAACAGTTACCAAACACGTAGTTGTAGAAGTATGTGAAATTCCTAAAGAAGACGAAATAAAAGCTTAGTAATTCGATCTAGAAAAGATAGACTGTTCAAAATACAGATTCCCTTCACTTTTAATTTTTTTGCTTTGTTAGTACAAGACAAGAGATCACAAGATATTCAAAATTAATTGTCCAAATTGTCATGGGTAACTTTAACACCTAACTTCCGCAGAGCTGCAAAGATTTTCAATCAGTATACCCGAATGAGCGTGATTCAGGCGATTCAGTCAAACAGGCTAGAGAAAAAACAACAACGGCAAAAAACAAACATGTTAAGTTGACCACAAAGTTCCAGTGAAGATCCTCTTCCACAAGAGATTTATGACGACGGAAGGACGGCTTTGTAAACGTTTGAGATTAATTAATGATGCTTATGTCTTGTTACACTCTTTAGTACTCTATTTGTTTAAATTAAGGTGTACTTTTGACGTAAATTACAACATGAACCCTTAATATAGACACCTCGTTATTACGGACATTTTCTATACCCGTCAGTTTCGGACACTTTCTATACCCCCAGTGTCTGTATTAACGGGGTTTGATCGTACAAGGGACAAGGATCCACATGGGTGTCCACGGGTTGGACAGTCAGTCAGTCTGTCATTCAGTTAATCCATGGAAGTACTGGGCACAAGAAAAAACGGGCGTGCGAGAAGGAGACACGCGAAGGGAGAGAGAGCTCCCTCACCCCTTTCGTGTCTCCCTTGCGCGCGCCCGTTCTCTCTTTCGCCCACTACTTCCAAGCGCCTGCTACGAAGGCTACCATGGGCGCGTCGACAACTTCAGCGGAGTTAAGAATCACATAGCAAACATAGTTACTGTACTAACTGTGGTCCACACGCTTCCCCATTCCATTCACAGTCCAGTATAAGATCCTCAACTTGGTGTCCGATGGACTTTTGAAGTGTTCTATTCATGGTTGCCAGCAATGCGTGTTTGTAAGAATTGATGAGCTTCCTACGTGTTCCTGCATCAAACAAAACTTTAGAAGTATTGTTCAACAACTAAACTAATTTTCACCCGTATGGCAGCTTTTCACGTTTCCCAGTTTAAGCAGTAAAAGCCAAAATATTTTACAGTAAAGATAAGCGATGAAATATGACGTTTTTGCATATAGCAAACTCAGGTTTTAAAATTTCAAGCCTTTTCATTTAAAAATTGAAAGCCTTGGTTATACTGGCGCTATGGAAGCAAAGACAAAAACAAAAAGAAAGTTAGTTCTAGTGTAAATCAGAACAACACAACAGAACAGAAACTTTGTTTCCATGCTGCTTTTTTGTTCACAATGAAGGTGAAAAGTTGAAGGGGAAAATCAAGGTGCGAGCTTTGCTGTTGTCAAAGTAAAAAAGTAAGCCTTATAATTATCTGTTCAAAAAACCAAATGAACTATGCTCAGGCCCAAGGGTTGTGCTATCGTTGTTCCTAACTTAGTACAACTGAGTTCGTCTTTGGCTTGACATTTGTTCAAAAGTCGGACTTTATTGCAACAGGATGTGGGAAGATGAACATGTAAAAATGTTGTGTGTACTGAGTAGTATAGTAGGAATCGTTTATTCCGCTTATTGCTCCGGGATTATATTACACTGTAACACCTTTTGTGTTTTGTCGCGGTGGGATAAAATCGAAGTAGGATGATAACCTAATCTACGTTTCTTTGTCTTTAATATAACAGTTTGAACAAGATTTAACAAGTTTTGATTGATTATGTCACCATTTTGATTGGTAGACTTTGGAGGAACGTTCATTTAACAACGGAAAAAGCGCCAACTCACAGCTCACCTAACACCACTAAAACGTAACGCAAATATCCAAGTTTTATCTCCTGTCACCACCACCATCAACACATTTCGATTGTTTTCGCTCGTCTATTGTTGAAAACTGCCACATGAGCACCTGGAAATGAGGAGGAGGTGGATGGAATGGAATTGTGGTGATGGTGGTGCAGGGAATTCAGGGGCACCTAACGAGAATATAGTTCAAAACCACTTAAACATAGCATTGTTAAACGTATTTTAGTATTTAAACGGTAAATAAAGGCATATTTTTATCCACTAAAAATTTTTCATCTGTTCAGATTTCCTCGGCTGAAAGTCTAGTGATCCGAAAATTATAGGGATCAAAACTTACCTTTTCGAAAATTTCAGCCAGAAAAAAGGCTTCCGAAAATTCTAGGTGACCTTTTAAGGGTAAAAATCCGTCAAAAATGGGCAATTATAGTAGTTTTTAGATGTTTGAAAATCCTAGGAGAGGCAAGCAAGCAAAAAATTTTACAACAAATGTTCCGAAAATTCTAGATCTCAAATCGTCTTCCAAACAGATATTTTCCGAAAATTGTCGTTGGGTGCCCCTGGAAATTCTGAAAATGTTAGAAACGCGGTTGTGGTGAAAGTAAGACAATATTAGGGAACTTAAGCTACAACGACGGCGACGGCTACAAAAACGTCACTTAAAAAGTGCATTAGTGCTGCCTCAAACTTTATCGCGCTTATTCCATCTCGTTTAGTTCGTTAAATGTTGGCAAATTTTTCTGGAGCTGAATTCTAAAAGACTGTATCAAAGTTCAGGAAAAGAAAAAGAAAGTTGTTGTCTTGTGTTCCCGTCCTCGACAAGACGTGAAAATAGGGATTTTCACGTCGTAGTCGTGCAACGACGGCAAAGAAATGTACAAAAAAGCGTGATGCACGTGAGTAGTTGTTTTTTTGCCAATCTAAACCTATTGCTTTTTCGCCGTTCTCGTTGCCGTCACCGTCGTCGTTGCTTAAGCTCCCTATTAGCTCTGTGAAGGTGGAAATGAAAAAGCAGAAAAATGCGGAGGCGGCGGCGGTGAAACCGATCATACTAGACACACTCAAAAACAATGCTTCATTCTCCTTTGTAAAGATTCCCTGTGTTTTGTTCATGAGGTAAAGACAAAAGGCTGTGACGTACGTCACCGATGTTTATGTTTTCCACTGCAAAGATGGAGTTAAACAACTGTACTATACAACTCATACTGACGTCTGTGAACAGTAACTAATTCACATTCGCATAAAAGCCACCTTATGCCTTTTGATGGATAAGTTATGGGTGAAAAATTTTGCAGAAG